GTTACACGTCATGGTGTGCCTATTTCCATTATTTCGGATAGAGATACACATTTTACATCAAGATTTTGGCAGACTCTTCAAAAGGCATTGGGTACGCGTTTGGATTATAGCACCGCCTATCATCCTCAAACAGATGGACAATCAGAAAGAACTATTCAAACGCTTGAGGATATGTTGTGTGCGTGTGTAATAGATTTTGGTGGGAGTTGGGATGCCCATCTGCCCCTTGTTGAATTCTCTTATAACAACAGCTATCACACCAGCATACAGTGTGCACCGTACGAAGCCCTATATGGACGTAAATGCAGATCACYGCTTAACTGGGTAGAGATCGAAGATAGACAGTTGACAACGCCCGATATTATCCAGGAAACCACCGACAAGATTTCAATCATCAAGGAGAGACTTCAGACGGCAAGAGACCGTCAGAAGAGTTATGCAGATAATCGGAGAAAGCCGTTGGAATTCCAAGTGGGGGATAAAGTACTCTTAAAGGTATCGCCATGGAAGGGACTAGTACGATTCAGGAAGAGAGGCAAGCTAGGTCCCAGATACATTGGTCCATTCGAAATACTCGAAAGAATCGGACCAGTGGCGTACAAGTTAAAGTTTCCATAAAATCTAAGCGACATCCATGACACGTTCCATGTGTCGAATCTGAAGAAATGCCTAACGGATGAAACAATAGTGCTACCCCTAGACGACATTCAGATTAGCGATCAGTTACACTTCGTTGAAGAACCAATCGAGATACTGGACCGAGAAGTTAAACGGTTGAGGAGCAGAAAAGTCCCTATTGTTAAGGTCTGCTGGAATACGAAACATGGTCCAGAGTACACTTGGGAGCGAGAAGATTTCATGAAAGWCAAATATCCGCAACTGTTTGCAGAAAAATCCATTGGCAGTAGCAGTCGTTAAATTTCGGGACGAAATTTCTCTAACGATGGAAGACTGTGATAACTGTCAAATTCGAACTCCCAGGTTAGCTCTTATTAAGTTTATATTAGTGTTATTAAAGATAATTTATAAGATTAGGAGTTAGTTAGGTTAGTTCGGTCGAAAAATTTCTAGAGATTCTGGCAGTTGCTTAGAAAGTCCGGTTCCGACTCGTAATTATCTGAAACGTCCTATACAGTGCCAAATGCTCTAATTTATACCTAATTTATATAAAACACCAAGTTTTAGTGTTTTAAATATAAAACGTTTTTATTTAAATGAATTCAGCCGTCATGGGTTTATAATTTGAAGAAAAATGTCAAAATTGAGAAAAATAGCATTTTAGCATTTGGGCTTTAGTTTTTATAAAACAAATATATAGAGGGTGGGCTTGGGCCATCCCATGGCCGGCCCCTACCCCTTTCCCTTCCTTATTCACATATAAAAAGCCTCATTTCTTCATTTACAAGCCATTTGCATCCTTTCAAATTTAAACTTCCTCTCCCTCTATCTCCCTAAAACTCAAGGGTCACCTTGAAAATCATCTTCATCCTCCATCTTTTTCAGCCGAAAATATTCATCTTTTCTTCATCAACAATCAAGGTAACATCTTCATCTCCCTCTTTTTTTCTTGCAAATTTTGGGAGAAAAACCCACTTTTTATGCATTTCTATCTACTATCTTCTAACCTCCANAGTAGTCTTCACACATATGTAGACGGGCTTGTAATCACTGAGTACTGCTTCAGATCACGTACTCGCCAGTCTCTAATCTTCAGTTTCAGTCTTCGACTTTAGCTGAAGGTTCTTTGGTGTGAGTGTTGTCTTCTTGAAGTAATTATTGTCTCTGATTGAATTACAATACAAGTTCTTCAGTGATCACTGAACAGGCTCAGTGATGATCGCTTGGAACTGAAGAAACAGAAATATAAATACAACGTTTAAGTGAAAAAGGGATTATCATCAAATCACTAAGAGAGAGAATCCACATATTCACATACCGACTCCTCTAAGGTGGAGGTCAAGTCTATGTATATCCAACACTTCAAACCCTACTTTCGAGTGGGACTTATCGGGTGTGCTTGGGAGTGGGACTTGCAAGGGAGGGTTTTTTTGGTTTTTGCAAAACTGGGACTCTTTTGACTTTCCTTTATAAGGCTAAGCTCTTTTTATGTTGACTATGCCACCAACCTCCATTTAGACTGTCAAAGACTTTTCAGCCTAGTGGTAAAGGCTTGGGCATGGCATAGTCATGAACCCGAGTTCGAGCCCTGGAAGGGGAGTGTTGGCGACATTTAAGTGGGGCCATGTTTAGCCTCCAAATTTGTCGGGGATTAATCAGGCTTTGGCCCGAACACCCTTAAAAAAAACCTCCATTTAGACTACTCTTAAAAAATTATGTATATGTATTCTATTTATATCCAAATGAATTATTTATAATATTTTCAATTTAAACTAAAATCAAATAATTATTTATAGGTACTAATTGGTAATTTTTTTAATAAAATAATTAAAAAAATTAGCTATATATTTACAATAATAAATTTATACGTAAAACATAAACATATTTTTCTTCATATCTTTTTATTTTCGTCAAGTATTTTGAACTTCAAAGTTTCTTGATTTCGAGACATTTGATAAACCCATCTATTGTTATCAAGTTCTTCATCTTCGTCGTCGTAGTCTCTTCTATTTTGTATAGGTTGCTCAGTGTCTTACTAAAACCCAGTGTCGGTTTTTTGCCTAAACACTAGATACAGGTAAAATAAAGGAAAGAAAATGATGTAACTAAAATTTGTTTAAGAAATTGAAGGGTTAAAGTTAAAAAAGTATGCAACCCGTTGAGGTTAACGCTCCTATTTTTCAAGAACAAATTTGAACACCCTCATTTTTACGAAGGAAATTTATAGACACTATGTATTGCCTTGAAATTAATTATCGAGCGTACCTTTGTTCGCTTCTTCTCCACCAAGCACGGAAGTTTAAGGATAACTGTAGGTTGGTGGCTACCTAAGGAAACTTCGATTCGATCCGCCCCCCGGCTGGGAGGCATCTACCTTATCCCAATCACAAGGAGAGGTAAACTATGATGGGGTACTTTTTTTCCCTTCCGGAAAGAATCAAATGTATAAGGGACCATCCTTTTGTTGCAGCATGCTCCTCAGATTTACGGATTCACAGGGGCCTCAGGCCCTACTTAGTTGACTGACAATGACAAAGGCTTGCGAAACTAAGTAGAGCCTTTTGAATTGAATATTAAGTAGTCTATCAATGGTACAAAACTAATTGCCGTCATGGAAAAGGGGTAGCGAGTATTTTTGCATATTGAGAGATATTTTTCACAACCTTGTAGAATAAATTCATTTTTTCATTACCATTTAACGTATATGTACATGTGTATAAACTCCGGTTCTGGGAGGCCTATTCCGACCTGTCCTGTGCGTTCTGTCAGAACGGGCCTGATTCGCATTCGTATCTTTTCTTTGAGTGCCCGTTCCCAAATCTGGTCTGGAATGGCTTAAAAGCCAAGCTGAACCTCAACGGTATCCCGGATATCTGGGCTAATATTATCGGTATGTTTCAGCAAGTCACCAAAGGAAAGACCATATGGTCTATCATTCGTCGCTTAGTGCTTGCTGCGACCGTCTACCACTTATGGCAAGAAAGCAATAACCGCATCTTCAAAAGCAAAAGAAGATCGCATATTGCGGTGGGTAAGACGATTACTGATGATGTCCGTTCCAGGCTTCTTAGCCTAACTTTCAAGCCCTCCCTAAATGTTGACCGGGCTCGGCTTGTTTGGAACCTTCCTTAGCCGTCCTTTTCTTTTGTGCTGTTTGTCTGTTTGTGTGAGCACCTCTGCTTTCCTGGTTTTCTTGGTGCGGTCTAGGGTGTGCCTTTTTTAGGCCCCTTCTCCTGCCCCTGTGGTGTCCCCCGTTGTTTTCCCGGTCTTGGCTTGACCGGGCCCTCCCTTGTGGTCGGTTTCTTCTTCTCTCTCTTTCTCCCCCTCTTCTTCTCTCTCTTCGTCTCTTCCCCTTTCTCTGTTTTTCTTTTCTCTCTTTCTCTTCCTCTCTTCTTTCTTCTTCGCTTTCTTCCTCCTTTTTTCTCTCGGGGTGCCTTGGTTATTTCTGGTGGATGTTGTTCGCCCCCACCCGAGCGCGTATTTTGTCTTGCTTTTTAGCGTTTAAGTGTTTTTTCTTGATCTGGTGGAGTCACCCCCCTCTCTATCAAAAAGTATAGAAACACAAATATAGACACACGTTTATATATATATATATATATATATATATGTATTATGTATATGCATGCAAACGTACACAAGTATATACAATTATACACATGGACACAAGTTCATTCATCCATACACATAGACACTTGTATATGTATACATACACATATCGAACACATGCATGCATAGACATACCCTATATACAATTATACACAACACATGGACACAAGTTCATTCATCCATACACAGACACTTGTACATGTATACATACACACATCAAACACATGCATATATACACATATACATGTACATAAAAAAATACCTGGACACAACACATATAGAGGAATAACCACAACCCTTGCTTCATTCAGTGCTGACGAATCGGGTGACCGGATGGGCCTGTTATCGGTTACAACCGACCCGGTTAATGTGATTGGCAGACACAGCCGAGTTATTGCCGAATGCTAAAATGTGAACTCCAGTCAAATATAAAATACAAACATAAATGTTTTATAACTGATTACAAGGCCCGGGTACCAAGACCCGGTGAAGGCCCTGTTTTTTTAAGAAATGGGTAACGAGTCGTAACACGATGTGCGTGATCAGATGGGCTAGACCGGGACCGGTTACATTGGCCCCCCCATCTCTATTCATTGCCATAAAATATACAACCAAAGAATATAACCACTGCTTCAAATTTAATTACATACAGGAAAGCCTAATGATACAAACCAAACTCTACGCCTCAAAATGTTCTCAGAATGCAATTTCACTCATCGAACAAAACTCTACGACCAGGACCCATTGCACCATTATATCCGATAAGAATGACCAAAGACTAAAATAGCCTTCAGTTTACAAAAGGAATAAGAGCAAAATGCTACTGGTGGATCTGGTCTGATGAAGAAGATGCAGACGCCTTTGATGTTAAAGCTTGGATCGTGGATTGAGCGATAACCAACTTCTCTCGAAGCATCACGTTGTATTCATAGATGTTTTCAAGATTTTTCTGGATTTCTGGAATGCTAATTTTCGAACCAGCCCTCATTTCTGCCAACACATTTTACAAAAGGAAACTCGGAAGCCGTTCACAACTTTAAAATACTGCATATAAGGGGATGGGTAGTTTACCTAATGATGGTGGCAAAGGTATAACCGTCAAGGCTTCTTGTCGAGGTGTATTTGCATTATTTGAATGCATACTACTTTTTTCCTTTATTTCTTTTACAGCTCCTAGCCCCTGTGCATGTCACAAGGACAAAATCAGTTTGTGTTCGACTTTTGAGTGTCAAGTGAGTTGAGGGGCAATTAAGTAATGTTGCATTCGCATACTGACTATTTGGGGTATAGGTCAGATCTGCGTATATCCCACTCCTTATACGCTACTTCCGTCTAGGACTTACTGGGTTTGTTTGGCATTCGCATACGGAATAAAGGAAAGTTTCCTTACAAGTTTTTGGCATATGTATTCCCTTTAAATGATCATGAGTACAAAGGGTTGTAGCCGAAAAGGGTAGCAAGTATTTTTGCATATTGAGTAATCTTTTTCACAGCTATCTTGAATATTCTCGTTTTCTATTACCATTTAACATATACATACGTGTATGTGTATAGAGAGACAAGTATATACAGGGCTGGGTTCCGGTGAGAAGGAGAGTTAAGGTGAGAAGTGTAAGAAAGGATCTCCATCCTTGGATGCACATTAGGATAAGATGCACCCAGATTCACCAGATCAATCCCCGTATAAAACAAGATTCATGGGTGGGTTTGAGATTAAAGGTGATCAAAGGTCCAGATCCCCTCTTACGCTTCTCACCTTAACTCTCTTTCTCACATGATCCTTCGTCATATATACATGTGTGTGTTTATATATATGCATATGCATGCAAACATATACACATAGACACAAGTATACTCATTCATACACATAGACTTGTACATGTATACATACACACAGACACATAAACATGTATATAATGGCACGTGGCCATAGATATATGTACATACTAATATACATACATAGGTTAGGTTCCGTTAGGATCCTCATTTTCATTGAGAACCAGGAAAGCACCGAGAGCGCATCATATGTCCATATTCATGATGTATATTGACAGGACATTCATCATGAATGTCGTAACATGATGATAACATTCAACATGAATGCTTGTATTCATGATGAATGTTGTAAAGATTCATGTCTATATTCATGACGAATATGGACATGTGGCATGCTTTCGATGGTTCCCCGATTCTCAATGAACCTCCTTCTACATACATATATATGTATGTGTGCATACATAGATACATTTGCATGTGTGCATATAGATACATACGTGCATATACATAGAGTTCATAAGTATGTTAAATCATATACATGTGTATGCATATTTATACACACTGCACATTTTTGAAGCAAGTAATTACCCTAGAGAAAATTACTTCCAACTACTTACCCTCTCACTCTGTGTGCTAAGTTTAGTGTTGAAACTGAGGTCACCCATTCTTATTTGTTTCCTTTGATTAAACGAAGATCCTCCTTTCAGGTTTGGAAAACAATTGCAGCATGCCTTTTCCACGAACACTCCATCTTCAGAAGGAATTAGACCACGACCCCATGTAAAATTTACGTACTTTCTCAGCTAGTTCCAATAATAAAACAAACATCAAAATTCAGTATATAATGATCACATCCAACTGGTTTCAAGTAAAATGATTCAAACATATTACAACCAATTAAAACAACATACTTTGTCCCACTGTTCTTGAGCTTTTCGACGATTTCTAATACTTCTCATCACATCATCCTCGTGACGGAACCTCTTGAATCTGTATTCAAACTACAAGAATAATAATTAGGATGGCAAGAAGAATAAAACATGTAGATACAAGTAAAACAAAACCAACCAACTACATCCCACCTGGAGGTGGGGGGGAGGAGCAGACCTGACCTCTACCCTAAAGAATAGAACGGCTGTTTTTGTGAAGACCCCTATCTTACGCAAAGTGTGCAGAAAAGGATAAAGCTTGCTCAAAAGATTTGCTATAATAGGACATAAGAACATTTGAAAAATACTTGAGAACAAGAAAAGCGGTGTTAAAATTTGAAACTTGGGCGTTTAACGGAAAGGGAATAAGAAGCGTACTTGCACCAAAAAGTAGAAAAATATGCCAATACTAACACAATACAGGCCACCCAGATCAGCAAGAAAGCCCACTGCATTCTTCGAAAAATAAGATACATTAGATCACTACGTCTAACTTTGGCATTTCGTTCCATTGTTCTATATAAGTATTCAATTGTTAGTCAAATGTCTGTCCTTCATGACCTATAAATTGTTCTAGTTTTTGTGGGATGGAATGATATAGTATCTTTAACAACTTCACAAGATACAGAGTAAACTACATTTTTGGTCCCTATGGGTTGTCAGCAATCACGGATTTGGTCCCTGTGGTTTGTTTTCTTACGTTTGGCGGACACTGTGATTTGCATGTCTTTACGGATTTGGTCCCTTGAGATAACTCCGTAAAAAAAAATCAGTTAAGTGGGGGCATTTTGGTCTTTTTCCATTTTCCAATCATTTTCTTTTAAAAATTTAAAATTTATATGATGTATATACACACACAGACAGAGAGACAGATGAAAGGCCCCTGGTTCTCCGGCAGCAACACCTTCCTCCCCTCCCCGATTCCCCCCCCTCCCCCGTCATCTTCTCTGGCAGAGCCCGGATACAGAGGCTGAGATCTCTGATAACCACTCCTCAACATACATTTTTAACAGGGTCATCTCAGAGGGGCCAAATCCATGAGGATTTGAAACCACGGTGACTGTAAATGTAATAAACAAACCACAGGAACCAAATCCGTAACTTCTAACCACATGGACCAAAAAGTGTAGTTTACTCCATGATATCAGATTCTTGATTGAAGTTCCACATATAAATATTTCAACAAGTATATATTGAGAAAAAAAGAACACAAATCCAACCTCAGTAAATTACTCACCAGGCCCGAGAGTGTTTTGATTGTCGATTTGCACGATGTAGGCCGAAAGAAAATTGATATACAGCATGGTGTTAACGAGTCCATCGCTTGATCTCTGTAGTGAAGCCTGCAGCTGACTCGCTTCGTCAAAAGACGAACCCGGAATGAATTCATGAAAAAGAGGCTGTATAAGCTTGAGATCATGTTTATTTCGGTATATTCTTGGAAACAAATTAAATTGTACGATATTTGGATCTTTCCCTCTATATGTAACGAACTTTGCACTGTTCGTGCTTCCATTCTTCAAAGCACCACTTACAAAACTCAAATGCTTTTTGTGCTGCCGGTCCCTTGCCGTTAACTTAAACTCGAAACCAACGGCGGTTGCAGGCACATTTGGGAGATCAACAAACTGCCATGAGATGTATATATTGTCGCTAACAAGATGACAATCGTCACATTTAAGAGTTATGGTCGGCCCCTTGGTGGTGTTTTGGCACGAGAAGTTGACAAAAGTGGAAAGCAGTGATCTCCGATAGTCGATGAATCCTGGATTTCCGGTTACCAAAGTACCGAGACCCTGTAGATTGGAACAACTCATGCTAGAAACGGTCGTTATGTTGAATTCCATGTCATTATTGAAGGAAGCCAAGTCAGGTGCATTCGATGCTAATACACTGTGAACCTCGATAGTTCTCGTGGATATAACTTGGTACAACAACCTGTGATGTCAAACATGCAAAAACATAATGTTCGTAGTATGGCAAAATAGATACATCATACATACATCATCTTACTTTCAGAAGTTTACATGTTAAACTAAAAGATCTGTAAATATTCTCGTAATCATATAGATTACGTTATTTTCGCTTAATTCGAATCAAACTATTTAGGTTGTTAAGTTGATCTTTTTTTATCATTCAGAATTTGTATTCAAACACCTTTATGAAACAACCATTTTTTAATTCCACACCTAATCCAGATTGAGGGCCAAAATGGTCATTTCATCTATATTCATACATGCAGCTTAATCCATGTCATCATCATAATCTATATACGAGTTAATGAGAAAAACATCCCCCAAGTAACATAAACCATATATAAAGGTTGAATTTCATTTTCTCTTTCCTCTGGTCCTCTTGTCTTAAATCGACCATAGATGTGGTTAATTTGATTAAAATTAAGTGAAAATGACGTAACTGATAAGATTGTGATGGTATAAGTATGGAATTAATATATCATTGTAAAAGTATAGCGATGTCTTGGTCTATTTTGCCATATAGAAGTGAAGAATTGGAGATTTAGATAAGTCACTCACGCAGCAAACAAACCAATAAAAAGAATCCAACTTGCAATCGAGAAAGCTCCACCAAGTTCCGTCTTTCGCTTCTTGACAACCTTTTGATCATCCTACACAAATGACATCAACAACAATGTGTAACCATCGGAATACACGGTCCAAGAAAAATACGAGATGGTGGCAACAATAATGATGAACTATCAAACATGATCATGTAAACTTAGCACCGATTACAAAGCTTGATGCCAACAAAGATATATATACACATACACTCATGCATACATACATGTAGATCTATTCAAAACATTCACATAGATACATAACTATGCATATGCATACACGCATACATATCTATTTAGGGTAGAAACAGATGCTTATTACTCGGGGAATACCTTCAATTTACATGGTACAAGAAGGGACTCTTTGCCAAGAACAAAGGAAATAAACCAAACCCCATTTCACATGACACTAACGAAGATACAAACCAAACGTTTATCCTATTTCTATCGTGTAACATGAACCTTTACCGGCTTGTATTCCTTGTCCATAGATAAAGAGTCATACCCGACACATTTATAACAAAGTAAACCAGAAAAACTTTACCGGCTTATGTTCCACCGGTACAACTTAAGAATCTTCAATTACATTTACCAAGCAGGGCGTGTTTACAGGAACAGTCACTCTACCCCCATGATCGAGGTAAATTTTTCGTACATCTTACCTCCCAAGAACCTACTTCATGTCAAATTCACTGGGTTTGTTTGGTTTGGTTCGGTTTAGTTAAAAATTTACCAATATCCAGAGAAGAAATTGAGGCTTCTGCAAAATCCTAACCTCGTCATGTAATTTTCGTAATCGACTTGATGACAAATATTTATAAACAGTCACAAAAAGCATACCTTTTTTCATTCATTTGGCTGTGATCATTTCCAACAAGCTGTTATTTCATTCACCCCTCACTCTTTCTTCACGTCTGTGATCGACATGCTAAGAAATGACGTGAAGGAAGAGTAAGGGAACGCACCCTTCAATTTTCCATCTGTCATGGCTGAAAAAGATGGTGAACGAGTGACAAGAAAACCCTAACAATTGAAGGTATTCCTAGATCTAGGCTCTCATACCATGTAAAATTTTGATTCTATATTTTGCAAGTTGTATATAATTTACAAACTCTACAAGGCTGTCGGCCTGATTGTTTGAAGCATAACAAGCTTAATGGGACTCGCAACTTATTTGGTCAGCTAGATATAATTGTTTGGTAGTGATTTAATGATGTAGAAATTGGCAATATTCAGCAAGATTCCTACCGGTTAAAAAGACACGCTCCTTTCATCTACGAGAAATCCCTCCTAAACAAAAACTTTCTCAATCTAACCAGACACATTAATTCTCACAAAGAATTTATTCATTCAGGACCAAACAGGCCCTGATTGCTCTTCCATGGAGCAAGTCTCAAAAGCAATCTCTTCGATCCACAAACCAAATTCGGATTTAACATATTGTTGAAGTTCTTTATCTTCAAAAATATTTTCTATTTCGGTAGTCTTTATATGGTTCAATTTAGTTATCATTCTGCACAAAGAAAGAATTTATGCACAATTATGATTCAGTGAAGCTATCAAATACTTAGCTAATTTGGATCGTAAAAGTCGAAGATGGACAATTAATGATCCCAATTTAGTAACTAAATCTAACAATCGCAGCTCCAATCCAACAATGAAAGCAAGAAAAGAAGAGTACCAGCCAATGGCGAGTAGCGAAGGCGACATCCAATCTGCTAATCCACCATCTGATCTGAAACCAAGGTGTTCTTCCATCACCAAGCTTCCCAAACCTCACAAAAAAGCAAAATACGAGCCAACACAAAACTAAAACAAAAGTAGTCTCGAGAAACACAGCCTGAGATTGAGTGAACCTCTTGATTGTATCAAATGCGAAGATGTTAACAGGGATATTGATTGAATAGTCAACCCCAGAACCCACCAAGAAATCGTCGCCGGAGGAGGCGGTAAACGGTGAGCATGTGTCGTCGGTGGTGTTGTAAAAGTAACCTGGATTGCAGGCGCATAAAGTGGTGTTGTATCGGAAGAAGTTATTGGTTGGACACTGCATTTTGTGTGGATTTACGTTCTTACAACTCAAAGAATGAAGATCTTGCTTGGTGAGTTGTTTGTGAATCTTGGCGCCTGGACAAAATGAAGGAGGTCTTGCGTGTTTGGACAGAAGAGCAATTGGTGCGTTTTCCTCTTTTGTTTTTTGACGACCAGAACCATCTTCATCCCCAGATGATGATATATGATAATATGTGCATAGAATATATAAAATATTAAATTACAAATTTCGTACCTGTGGACTGTGGTTATATATATACATGGGTCTAATTAAATGAGAACTAATTAGTTTGTGGTAATTGTAAGAATTAATATTAACCATAAATCAATAGATAAATTAGGAAATTTATAGTTTTGGTAATTTTGAATTAAAATATTAATGCAAGGATATTTTTGGTATTTTAAAACTTTCATCCCTCCTCTTTTCTTTCTCCGGCCACCGTCCTCCGGTGATACTACAATGGTATCACAATGCATCATATATGTGTTTGGGTATCACATTGATGTCGTTTGTGTGGTCGATCGAAGATGTAACACAGTGGTATCACTATGCATCTTATATATGATTAGGTATCACAATGTATCTTTTGTTTAACAGAGTCAATATTTTTAGGTATCACAGTGGTATCATAGTGGTATCACCGGTGGACGGTGTCCGGAGGCCGGAGAACGGTGGCTGGAGAGAGGAGAGATGAGAGTTTTAAAATACCAAAAATATCCTTGCATTAAGATTTTAATTTAAAATTACCAAATTTATAAATTTCCTAATTTATCTATTGATTTGTGGTTGATATTGGTTCTCACAGTTACCACAAACAACTCAGTTCTCCCTTGAATAGGCCCCTATATATATATATATATATATATATATATATATATATATATAGGGAATATCAAATGTTAACCAACAACTTTATGTTAACTTTGAAAACCATGGCAACCAATCAAATTCCATTTTTTTTGTAGGTTTAGATCATTTTCACATTTTAATTACAATGGTATTTCAGTAAATTTATTTGATATGTAACTCCCAAACAATTAATAAGAAGTTACAAATCATCAAATCCTAAAAAATATGCATTTATAATATTAATATTTTTATTTTTTTAAATTTTGATCTTTCATATTTATTGTTTTATCAGTTTTTAATTCGCATAAAAAACACGGCAGTAAAAATTTTCGGTATCGATCAAGCTAATATGGATAAACACAATGAAAAATAAATCGACAACAATTATAATATTAAAATGGTTTATGATGACAATCGAGGTTCGAGGTCGGGAATTGAAGAAATTAACAAAAACGAATGTCTTGGTAATAGATTTTTATTTTTTTTAGATTCCTTTTAATCGAAATTATGTTCATTATGATGTGTTGTGTTTTTTATAACTCATCTTGTATTGATAGCTTTTTTCTTTAATTATTAAAATATGTACCTAATTTACATGTTCAAATTGAAGTACATGCACGACCCATTTTAATATTTGTCATATTACCGACTTTTATGAATCATGAACCATTGTGTTCATGTTACTTCTATCATATGAACACAAATGTTATTTTTTAAGCTTGATACCAAATCTTTATATTTGTGTAAGTGTTTGCACTCGGTGTTCATAGCGTTGGGGTTATGTGTTCATATATTTTATATGATATGAATAAGAGGTGAATACGATATGAACAAGGGGTGAACAACCATATAAGATCAAAAACATATATGAACAATGGGTGAACCTTAAACGATGTGGATGCAATGCATGTATAAAACTACAATTGACAAAGTATCACTCTTGAATGTGTTTATAATGAAAGAACTATTGTTCACAAGCTGTTCATATCGTGTCCATACCTGTTTTTTTATTTATTTCATTTCGTATAACAGTTATTTTTATTATGTTCATATTGTGTTCATAAATGATATGCAGTCCAAGTTCATATATATGTCAAATTTTTGTTCGTATTTGACACAATGGTTCATATATATATATATATATATATATATATATATAGAGAGAGAGAGAGAGAGAGATGTTATTCTACACCCTTTGCCATTCCTACACCCTATACAACCCTCATCTCAACTATTCAATTTTTAATCAATTAATTGTTTCTTAATATAAAGTATTAATCATAATTAATGAACTCTATTCATATTCCATAAATATTCAAATCATAATAAATGAACTCCCATCATTTCTATAATTAATTGGGTTGTAAGGGTTGTACAAATACACAAGGTTGTAAAAGAAATATACTCTATATATATATATATATATATATATAGTTGTGTTCATATGGTTCTTACATTAACAAAAAAATCATAGAATTTTTTATTGTGTAACTCCCAATTAATTAATGATATGGGAGTTACATAATTTTTTTTACTTAAATACCCTTTTCAACATTGTTCATTTATCTTTATGCAATTTTAAATTTAAAAAAATAAGTTTTTATCATAATTAATTACAACTGTTTATTGAAAGATTGAATGGCCAAAATCGGTTAACAAAGTTAACACAAAAACTTTGATTAACATTTAATCTTACTCATATATATATATATATATATATATATATATATATATATATATAAATATAAGTTATGGAAGAAGTCCAACAAACAAAATAAACTACTCTTATGGTCCCATTTTTAATATGGATTGAGGGTTGTTTGTCTTAATAATTATATTAAAATATAGTTTCTGA